CCCCTTGGGTACAAGGCTGAGTTTGTGTATAACTTTCAGCTAATAACTGAGCACAACTGCCTACTGAGGCAGCCCATTCCCAGGAGTCATAAGCCTCTTTTAACTGTTTTGGCTCAATGACTCCCTTTCTAAGAAACTTTCTTAGATATGAATACAGCCTTTTTCTCTTCTAACCCAATCTTCTTTTCCCTCAATCACAGGGGTTAGAACTGCATCAGAGTTTGATGGCTCTCAAGGGAAAGAAAATCAATAGGCATTGGAGCATTTGGTTGTGAGAATTAAAGCTTTTCAAAAGAACAATCTACAATTCTAAATCGTAGTATTTTACTGCAACTCATTTTGTATTGACTTGCTTCTCTGGGATATGGCTGCCTAATCTCAGCACTTTATACTTCCAAGTGTCATTTATCTTATTCAGAAATTTCTAAGTCAACTGCTAGTATGAATACACACTAGATGCATGAACCACCTTGCACCTGGATTTCTGCCTATAATGTAAGAGACACTCAGTTCATAGCTTCCAATTAGATGATGGTTCAGTACCATTTTTTAGACTATGTGAAAGTCCAAAGCCCTGGGATTCACTTACTTATTTGGTATCTACCATCTTCTCAAAAACCAGAATATAAATGAAATCTGGAAATGCTTCTTCAAGCTTCGCCGCCAGCCCCAACATTTAATTGCTAAAATTATTATTAGAAAGGATAAAAAGAAAAAAAAGGGTGTGGGGACAAAATGTGGGTGAAGTTACTTTTTTTTTTTTTTTGCTGAGATGTTTGGATAAATATAGACCTATTTTTTCACGAGTCACATGAGTATTTCATCTTATAGCCTTGGGAAAGATTCTGGTCAGATTAAATATTATAACTTATGATTTAAAGCTTTCAAACTCTGAGAGATTTAAAAGTTTAGAATTTTTTAAAATTAATTTTGCTAATTTAAATAAAAATATGGGAGAAAATCTTTTTTAAGCATTATTTTTACACTAAATGATGGCCATATAAAAGTTATAATTGTTAAGTAAAAAATAAAATAAAATACTAAAAATAGAACTTGAGAAGTTAATGGAGCTTTGTGACCCTCTTCTCACTTTACCATTAAGGCATGCAGAGATTTGGGTTCAGGTCATCCAGATGGGAAGAAAATAAGCCTAATCCAGACATCAGGTTTTATCTCCCAGTGACTTTACCCTTTTCATGTATCCTGGAGCCTGAGGGTGAGTTGCCTGAGAGGTTGAGGGAAGGAAGCAAAACTGTGTGCGCGGGCAGAATAGAGCTGCTGTCATCTGATTTCTATAAAATGCTTTCATGTAGAATTTTATCTGAAATAAGGGTTTTGAACCTAACAGGTTACATTTGCTCCTTCAAAGCTATTATTCTTTGAAATTAAGGTAAAAGTTGATTATGAACAAAATGTCCCAAAAAATGCATAAAACTTATGAATATAGGAAGAATTTATACAATTCCTGAAAAACCTGGAATACAATTCAGTTTTCAGTACAATTCTTTAAATGTGGAGATTATGATCTCTATTTTTTTTTTCAATTTTGCTTTGGTTTTGGGTAGTCAGTACTGTTAGCACAGAATCTGCTCAGAGAGAGTAGTGTCTTCTTGGCTTGAGGTTAAGTTACTTAACCAGAAATAAGTTTCCATTTTTTTTAAAACCTAGAAGTGTGACCTTCTATTTTGCATCATGAATAAGGAGATAAGGAGAACAAAGGAGAGAATCCAGGAAATGATTAGGTTGGTTCTTAAATGGCCCAAATGTGCAATTTCTTTAGGCTTGCTTAAGAGTCTTCTGCTCTTTGCTTCCATGCATACCCTTGATTTTATCTTTTTTTTTAATAAAATGGGTTCTCTTTTTTTCTTTACTAATGCTTTATCTCCCACTTAAACAGAGCGAGTTTTTATTTTATCCACTTTGCATTCACGGAAAGTGTTTGATTATCACTTACATATGCTTCAAAGTCCTTAAATGAGTAGACAGGGAGAAAAGCAATACAATTGGCTTTAAGTGGCTGGAACACATGGGGAGTGACATGGTGCACAGTTGAGGAAAATTGGGTGATCCAGATTTATATGTAAGTTTGTGCAATGAAGGCATACAAACTCTGCCAGAATCACAATAGCTTTCCTCACATTGGTAATTTTGTTAACTAACTTCTTTTATGACCTTTTCTCATGGTTGATTAGAATTTTCCTAGAAAAAAAAAAATCTGCACATATGAACAGACTTGCCATTAGTAGGTTTTTACCAGAACCTTAAAGTGTGTCGGCAAAGTAAACTAATTTGTTAATATGCCAAAGCAGGCTCTCTGAATGCCTGCCTTATGCTGGAAACAGGCTGCTCAGCCCAAGCAGCAATCATCACAGAAATAGACAGGGAGGTGGATACGAGCCCATATTCTGATTTAGTGCTTCTTTCCTGGAGCCATAATGGTCTGCTGGCACTTTCCTAATGGACTGCAGTGACTCCAAGTAACCTGTCTCCTCAGGCCTATTTAATCTGCTACTGATAATGTATTCTGTTTTTCTTAAACATAAAATTTCTACGTGTATAAAGAGGTGGGAAATTTTTCTCTAAAGAGACTGCAGTCAAGAAAATGAGAAGCAAGGGTGCACATGAAAATGATACAAGAACAGAACATGGTATGACTCCAATTTCTATCCTCCTGAGGGACCCCTGAGGGCACATCAGCCTCCGATGGACACCAGGCTCTGTGTCTTCCAGGACAGGACTGTCCATGTTGCAGACTTGGTGGGGGTATGTATCACAGCTTCTCCTGGAGCAATTCTTGAAAGAAAGAGGGATGTAGCAGCAAGTGATAATGCCCTCTGAGTTTCTTTTTTTCCTCAATGAGGTGAGTTCTCAGAGGACATGACAGCACAAGGGCATGATGTCAGAGAACTGCAGAATTCTGCACATACTGACTTTGTCAGAACCCCTTTACTAAGAAGTTGAAGAACCCTAGCATGGCTTCTCTAGCCCAAGGCTGCATTCCTGGGAGGATCCTGCCTCCTTTTGAGCTCCTGACTGACAAAGTTCAAGGCTGACCAAGAATTTGCTTTTAATCTATTGGACATCTGATAACAAGCCCCTGATTCTCCATTCTTAGAGCATTAACACAAAAAAAATAGCTCAATTTAAAAATTTCCTCTGTTTCTTTAAGACATAGATGCATATGTCACCTACAATCCAGGAGAGTCTTCCTCAAAGACGGTTTCTATGAAGTGTAAGCCTCAGGAGGATTGAACCCTTGTCTTCTGATCCAGAAATCCTAATATTGACCTCTGCCAACTCGTAGACACAGGTGGCTCCTAAGTTTAAACTATTCTTTATAAAAGCTGATATCTCGACTGGCAAATTATCAAGTTATTCATTAATTGGGGGTGCTTCTTCAGTTCAGAAATGTATTCTTGATGCTACATATTACTACCAGAAGAGTGCTGGACTGATGTTGAATATAATCTAAATAAAAGTCTTTTATCCTAGGTACATTTATGACTGCACTGTGGTGTGATGCTACATTGTGTACAATAAGGGAAATGAAAAGTTGTGCTGCAATTGTGTACAATGAATAAAAATGCATTTTGCTGTCATACATACCTAATTAAATTAAATAAATAAATTTTAAAAAAGAAGTCTTTCATTGTACTAAAATCTGCCCAACATCTGACAGTCACAAAACCAGAAAAGCAAACATCTAATGTTATCTTAATGCCAATGAAAACAACTTATTCTGTGGCTGGCCTGTTCATTGATTCCTTTTTGAGATGAACAAACATGAGAACTTTTTTCAGGTTTACCTCTTTGTGCAGGAAGGTCAAGAAGCTTGCTGGGATATTGATCAATTCATGTTTTAATTATACAAGTAAATACAAGGCTGCTATTTTATTTGGGCAAAATTCTCTTTCAAACTATATGTGAGACCTCACAATATACTGGGTAAATATATTTGTATTTATTTTTATCAATAAAGTCATTTTTCCTAATGGAGATGTAACTGCTATTTTCCCAAATGGATGGAAGAAATTTCAGGCAAATGAAATTACATATTGTAAAACAAAGATTTGAGTCCAAGGAGGGTGGTCACCTGACCCTTGGCTGGAGCCTAACAAGGCATATCCATTCAATATTTCAGTGTGTGGATGTAACAAGTAAACATTAGAACTGGTGGGTACAATCTGCCTCTCTTTTCCCTTTGTTATTGATTTCTTTTTCATGAGTTTCCAAGCTGATGGGAGAATTTTAATGACTCTGATCAGTTGGAGAAAATATCCACCAACTTTGACCTGATATTGCAGTGCGTGACCCTCAGTGCAGGCTGGTGCATTATTACCATCCCCTGCATGGTGAGTGCTGGTTTTACAGTGCAATATACCCTGCATCTAGACTGTGCCATAGTTTGTACAGAAGGCATTTTAGCTAATTATATCTAGTCCAAAAGAGGGTCATTTGCATTTTGCATTGTGTTTTACAACTAGTGGAATAAAAGGAGATTTGGGAGAAATTTTAAGTTGGCAGGGTATACAACTATTTATAGAGGACTCAGTGGGTGCTTAGTATGGATCTATATACTAGAGAGGACAAAGGTCTAAGAATCAAGCCTAAATGTTCATGTAGAGCTAGCAATATTGGTGAGATAAATCACACAGAAATACTACTGAGGACAAGGTACATGCTATTTTTTGAAAGATCAAGAAAGGACTGGATTTGTTGTATGGAAGAGAAAGAGAAATAATCAATCAATCATTGATCAAAAACACTTATTTTCCTGGGCAGGTTTAATAAAGAAGTATAAATTAAATTGGTGCAGGCAAAAAGATGGGAGTAGTTCTCTGGTCCCTCCTGCTTCATAATATTTGGCCAACATAGGTATCTAGAGGTCAAGGAGATATAGCCGCTGGTGGGACTTTGGAAATAAGCTCACAGAGAGGCATCATTTAAGTATGACCTGAGGGATGAGTAAAATTTAGATGAAAGAAAAAATAGTGGCCACAAGCTCGCAGAGAGGGAGGAGAAAGCATTGAGTTCCGGAGCTGTGCCTAACCCGGCCCAACCTTTGCTCCAGAGATCATGGCTGCCGAGGATGTGGTGGCGACTGGCGCCGACCCGAGCGAGCTGGAGGGTGGCGGGCTGCTACATGAGATTTTCACGTCGTCACTCAACCTGCTGCTGCTTGGCCTCTGCATCTTCCTGCTCTACAAGATTGTGCGAGGGGACCAGCCCGGGGCCAGCAGCGATAGCGACGACGATGAGCCTCCCCCGCTGCCCCGCCTCAAGCGGCGCGACTTCACTCCTGTCGAGCTGAGGCGTTTCGACGGCGTCCAGGACCCGCGCATACTCATGGCCATCAATGGCAAGGTGTTCGACGTGACCAAAGGCCGCAAGTTCTACGGGCCGGAGGGACCCTATGGAGTATTTGCCGGAAGAGACGCATCCAGGGGCCTTGCCACATTTTGCCTGGGTAAGGAAGCACTGAAGGATGAGTATGATGACCTTTCTGACCTCACTCCTGCTCAGCAGGAGACCCTGAGTGACTGGGACTCTCAGTTCACTTTCAAGTATCATCACATGGGGAAACTGCTGAAAGAGGGGGAGGAACCCACTGTGTACTCAGATGATGAAGAACCAAAAGATGAGAATGCTCGCAAAAATGATTAAAGCATTCAGTGGAAGCATATCTATTTTTGTATTTTGCAGAATCATTTGTAACATTCCATTCTGTCTTTAAAACATGGTGATTTCAAAATTTAGAAAAGTTTTGAACTTGCTGTAAATTTTTAAATTAACATCACTAGTGACACTGATAAAACTAATTTCTGTCTTTGAATGCATGATGTGTTTATGTGTCACAAATCCAGAAAGTGAACCACAGTGGTATAATACAAATGTTAATACTGTTTTTCTTCTATCTGTAGTTAGCACAAGCTGAATTTAGATTTGGTTTTCCTGAGAGTCAGGTAAGACGTGGGTATCTCCCCAAACAGGTAAAAATGTTAAATGTGCACCAAGAACAAAGGATTAACATTTAATCATGTTCTCTAAAGACAACAAATCCCTTTTACTCAATTGACTTAACTGCATGATTTCTATTTTATCTACCTCTAAAGCAAATCTGCAGTGTTCCAAAGGTTTGGGTATTGATTAAAGAGAGCCATCCAGTAACAAAGTGATATCTCAACACCTCCCTCACAGGGCTCATTCAGGAAGATTCGCCGTGTTTCTGGACTGCTTTGTTGTCCTTGCCCTCGCAGGACACACAGACACCTTCACAAACACAGTAACCTACAGTTAGGATTAAAACAGGATCTGAACATTCAAAAGATAGCTTTAGGGGGCAAAAATCTAAATGCATGAAGAAGATTGTAAAGCTGGCCTCCCAGTCCCCATGTTCATGACATGGCAATGGTTATTTGTTTATTTGATAAAATGTTCAATGTGAGAGGGGCATACGGACCAGGAGCAGGTGGTGCTCTCCTTAGAGTCTTCATCACAGTCCTGAAGAATGAAGAAGCAGTACATGTCACTAGCCATGTGGTTTTTAAAGTAAAATGTATTCATGAGATAATAACAGTTATCCTTCAGTTGTTACAAATCTAGCCACTGCAAAAGTAGTAGTCAAGTATCTAGGTCTCAGATAGTACTCTTTTGGTTAACACTAAACCTAGCTTAAGTAGACTCTACAGTTGTAAGAATTTGTAAAAGTATTATATGAACAACTAGTAAGGATTCAAACTCTTGTAATTGTAGTTAAATAGTCATTGTATTTTCTTGTGAGCTGTGTTTAATGGTTTTACCTCAAATCAGAAAACAAAATGAAGTGCTTTGGTCAGCTAATAAAATGGTTTTACCCTGAAAAAAAAAATAGTGCCGTCTAGCTATAAGTTGTGGTGTGGACAAGGCATAAAAGGAACATATTTTAAAGCAGAATCAGTATAGTGATTAGTGAGAATGAAATTGGGGCTATTTTGTGGCATTCATCTAAATTTGGTATTCTTTCTGTTTATTACCCCTTCTATTCTTGCTGTATTCAGCATGCCTTACACTTTCCCTGGCCTCTATTCTAAATATATATGTATCATTCTTCAAATGATTTCCAGCTTAGCATTGATATCACTTTCCATCATCATGGAACAAGCAAAATCATTAAGATTGATTAATATTAGTAGACTTGAAGAAAACGTTTGTAGGAAAGTCAGCATAGATTTAGAACTTTCTTGAAATTTGTTTTGAGAATTTTCTGCTTAGTCCCTAATTTTTTGTTTTTCAATGAACTAAACAAAAGTCAAAGAGAACCAATGTTGCTTTATCTTTAAAACTCAGAGGCCACCTAAGATGAAGCACAGAGAAATATGTGACAAAGTATATGGACAGATATTTTTCTGCAAGGAGATCCATCCTATGGGCCGACCAAGTCCTAATGACACCTGTAGTCATTTGAGAATTTGTCAAAAGTGGATGGAGTAAATGTGGAGAAAGATGCCTATAGGACAACAAATTTTAAAAAGTAAGTTGCTGTGTGGAATATAATTTAATTTTTATATCTAATCAATGCATTTAAAAAAATAACCTAGTCCAAATATACAAAATTGTGACTTTTAAATGATGTATAAATAGTAAAACACAAATTCAGCCTTGGTTCATGAGCTGTTCATTTTCCCAAACACGGAAAACTTTACCCTGCCCACTTCAGAATCAGCTGCATGGGCCCTGCCCCAAACCCCTCTGTACCTGGTAGGGCCCTTCCCTTTTCAATCTGTCTTAAATGTTGGCTCCCTTAGGCATAAAGAAATGAAAGCTTATTGATGTCACTCTTCTGCCTGCCACGGTGCCTTCCCTTTATTCTTGGAGTTGGATTCTGGCACGAAAAAAAGGCTCCCCACAGAGGCTGGAACAGCTTGTAGCCTGTGAAGGACACTCATGAGAGCTGGTTCTGCATTTTTAGGGTCCTTAGGACCCAAGATATTTTGCTAAGACAGATGTTTCTCGGAATATCCCTGGAACTGCCGTCCCACAAGGCCCCTGGGATAGATTGTACATTTATTCACAACTGAAGCTGACAGCATTCCAAGGCAGCTGTTCCAGGCTTGGAGTTTCTGGATGCAGAGTTGGAGCTCTCCATCCCCCAACACCTATTCCCATGACCTAGAGAGATCCTATGACCCTTCATTTGAGGTCTTTAGAGCAGAGAAAGGTCCTTTCTGCCTGAAGAGTTCTCCCATTGCTCTTCATGCAAGCTCTTCCGGTCAAAAGAAAATGCTGGATTTTTCAGACAGAAGAAGTCACAATTATCATGTTGTCTGTATAGCAGGATCTTGTTCAACACCAATGGAGCAATGAATTTTCCCTGTTACACTGTCTCTGTCACTGGGCTTTACTTCCCCATAGTTTTCTAGGTAGCTTATGAAATCTTGAACAAATTTTTTGAGATTTTCTTTTTGCTGCTTATTGAAGATATACCTATCTTTAGGAATATATAATAAAAAATACACTAGCAAGAGAGTAAAGTGTATCATATTAGAGGAGAAAATTATTATCATGCCCTGCCATCCAAGTAAGTGTAGCAGTATTTGGTTTTATTTTAAAATAAATTTGAGACTTTGTGTTCTTGTTTCCAATTGCTTTATAATAACAGAATGGAATTTCCATAATGATTTACCCTTTCTCTCTCAGCTATGTAAATGGCTTTATCAAGATTATTATACTAAGAGCAAACATTATGCAGAGAATATTACAGCTCCCATCAATCACTTGTCTATGATCTGAAGCTTTCTTTAGTGAGACTGATTGAAGTGGATTTTAAAAAATACCAACTGAAGGATGATTGTGGGCATTTTATTCAGTGTAAATGATGTTTTATTCTATATAGTGACTAATAAAGGCTCAAGAAAAATAAAGATCCAATGAGAGCTTGTCAGTGTCGAAGTCCATGGTGAGATCTGCATGTACAGAAATCTCAGAAAAGGCAATGATTTAAAAAAACAATTTATACTCTGCACTGGTGTAAACTTCTCACTCTATTAACTTTAAAAAAAATCAAAGAGGTTTTGCAATTTAAATGTTTTCTTTATATATTTCTCTTATTAGTTCATGAATATGTTACATTCATCTCCTGGGATTATTGAAATAGAGTTAGAAAAAGATAATACATATCCTCATTATATAACATTCATGTTTGTGAAGTAGAAAGAGTGTGAAACTGTAGAACTGAACAAAATATGTTAAATATTTCTGTAGAAATGATGCTTTTGTCAGCATCGCTTTCTACTTTTTAGTAGTCTTCCAATTTTATTTATTTTGCTGATATATGAGACTGTGAATAAAAGTTTGTGATTTGTATATTCATTTTCCATTGTTTCTTTCTTGAATAAAAAATGAATTTTTTAAGTTTACCAACTGATGATTGCTTTATTTTATGTTAATACTTTTGAGATTTACATTTCTTAAGTCTTTCATGCATCTTTGATTATTTTTTGTCTTCTGTATCCTATTATTTTAGGTAAAAGCTGTATATAGTATCACTTTGCTTTAAAAGTCAGGGAATTCTTGAGCTGGAGATATAGCTCAGTTGATAGAGTGTTTGCCTTGCCTGTACAATGTCCTGGGTTCAATCCCTAGTACCACAAACACACACACACACACACACACAACATCAACAACAACAACAGCAACAAAACACTCAGGGAATACTTGTCTTTTTGAGCAAGTGCATTTTTGGATTTCACAACATGTCAAAACATGTCAATATTTTTACTCTGTCATTGCTTTTGCCAAGGAAGTTAGAAATAACGAAGAATAGAAACAAAATTCATATTCCTAAGGATTTGCTCATAAATTTGACAACATGCTGCAGGAATCTGGGAAGACTTTAAGTGATATTGATATTTGGTTGCCACCTCCAGAAACTCTTATGTAGTTGACTAGGTGGCTTCCCCAGGGTAGTTCTAATGTCCCTCATTTGGATTTTATAAAATTAGTCTCTTTGTTTCTATCCAATATCAGAAAAAAAAATTAATATTAGCAGTGCAGATTTAGACATGGTAAATTTCACTACATAACCTAACAATCTGGCAATAGAAGTGTCTGATGACTTTCTAGATCTAATGGGGATTCAGAAGCCATCAATCCTCTCCATTCCCTTCTTCCTCATTGCTCTGAGGAATATAGCAAATGAGTTCAAAGTCTTCCCAAATCACTGAGCTCTTAAATGAAGAAAGGGTTTAGACTCTCTTGATATAACCCACTTTTGTTTTTCAACCTACCTTGAAGTTATCAAGTTGCAAAACAATTCAGATGTAAGCTAAACATATGGCACTAATAGTTAAATGGCACTTCCTTAATCCAGACCAATAGGTACCCAGGACTGGAATCAGTGTCAGAATTACCTTCGTTCTGCTTTAAAATCTGATTTGCCTGGAGGAGGAATTTCATTTTTAAAAAGGATGAATTCTTACAGAGATCTCCAGTTCTGTAATGATCCCTTTATCCATTTCCAAATATTCATGAAGTAGTGAGAATGAATCAATGAATAAAAATTGTTTACCTAGTGCCAACCTGTGTAGAATATTCAGTTAACAATAGCTGGAGAATAAGCATAAAGCATGTTACAGAAGAATCTTTATGAGGTCAATCTAGAAAACACAAAAAGAAGCACCAAATTATTACTGTGCCACATGACTTAGAGAGAAGGTAAATGTAGGACAAATCAGTCAGGATTTGTTTGTTAGTTTGTTTGTTTATGGATTACTTTATTACAAACAGTTCTGCAGTGACTTTGGTATGGGAACAAATAAAACTTAAAAACACCGTGTTTCTAAGAGTTATTACTCA